GGGAGAGGTACATACAAACAACAAAGAAATCATCTTATAAATATGTTAGAAAACATTGCAAGAAAGAAAAAAACATTTGAACCCTTATCTTGGGGTTCATTTCACCTAGCATCAACTTGTCTGACAGTTTCTGTTTGTCTCAGACATATAATAGTTATTGCAAATAAGGGAAACCATGGGACCTATATTTCTTTGGGCCTAGCTTCTTTCACTTAACATAATTTTTTCCAAGTCTTTCCATTTCCTAACAAATGGGGCAATGTCATTCTTTCTGATGGAGGCACAGAATTCCATTGTGTATATATACCACATTTTTTTGATCCATTCATCTACTGAGGGCATCTGGGTTGGTTCCATATCTTAGCTATGGTAAATAATACTGCAATAAACATAGTTGGGCTGGTAGCATTAGTATAGTCTTGTTTGTGATCATTTGGGTAAATGCCCCAAAGTGGGATTGCTGGGTCATAGGGGAGCTCTATGTGGAGTCTTTTGAGGAACCTCCATACTACTTTCCAAAGTGGTTGAACAAGTTTACACTCCCACCAACAATGCAGTAAGGTTCCCGCTTGTCCACATCCCCCCCAGCATCTGTTGTTATTAGAGTTCTTGATTATTAGCCATTCTAATTGGGGTGAGGTGGTATCTCAGTGTTGTTTTGATTTGCATTTCTTTTATAGCTAGAGAGGTTGAGCATTTCTTCATGTGTCTATTGGCCATCCTTCTTTCCTCTTCAGAGAAGTTTCTCTTTAAGTCTTTAGCCCACTTATTTATTGGGCAGTTGTTTCTTTGAGGATTTGTTAGGGAATTTAATTTTTTGAGTTCCAGGTATATTTTAGTTATGAGACCCTTGTCTGTTATATGGCTAGTGAAGATCTTCTCCCAATGCATGGGCTTTCTATTGATCTTGCTAGCTATATCCTTTGCCATGCAGAAGCTCTGCAATTTCTTGCAATCCCATTTGTCCAACCTTTCTTTGATTTGTTGTGTTTCTGGGTCTCTATTAAGAAAATTTCAGCCTGTGCCAAGGAGACCTAGGGTTTCTCCTTTTCCATCCTGTAATGTTTTTAGAGTGTCTGCTTTGACTCCGAGGACTTTGATTTATTTGGAGTTGATTCTGGTGCAGGGTGATATATAAGGATCTAGCTTTAGTTTTCTACAAGTGATTAAGCAATTTTGCCAGCACCATTTACTGTCTTTCTTCCATTTTATTTTTTTAGCTCCCTTATTGAAGATTAGATGGCTGTAGGTCTATGGGTTCATTTCTGGGTTTTCAATTCTATTCCATTGGTCCTGAGGTCTGTTCTTGTGCCAGTACCAAGCTGTTTTGATTACTATGGCTTTGTAGTAGAGTTTGAAATTTGGTATTAGCTATTCAGGGTCTTTTGTTTTTCATATGAATTTTTGGATTGCCTCTTCTATTTCCTTGAAGAATGAGGTTGGAATATTGATAGATATTGCATTGAATTTGTAGATAGTATTGCCATTTTCACAATGTTGATCCTTCCAATCCAGGAGCATAGGAGGTTTGTCCACATTCTAAATTCTGTTTTGATTTCCTTTTTCAGGTTTTTAAAGTTTTCATCATAGAGGTCCTTCACTTCTTTGGTTAAGTTAATTCCTATGTATTTTATTTTTTGTGGGGCTATTACAAATGGAGTTGCTTTCCTGATTTCAGCCACGCTTTTCTCATTGTTGGCATACAGAAAAGCCATTGATTTTTGAGGGTTAATTTTATACCCTGCTATGTTGCCAAAGTTTTGAATCAGTTTGAGTAATTTGGGAGTGGAGTCCGTGGGATTCTTTAAATACAAGATCATGTCATCTGCAAAGAGGGAGAGTTTTACTTCATCTTTTCCTATTTGGATCCCTTTTATGTTTGCATCTTGTCTTATTGCTGTAGCTAGGCAGTCTAATACTAAATGGAAGAGAAGTGGAGAGAGTGGACATCCTTGTTCCTGAGGTAAGAGGAAATGGCTTTAGTTTTTCACCATTAAGTATAATGCTGGCTGTAGGTTTGTCAAAATTGTGTTGAGGAATTTTCCCTGGATTCCTCATTTTTCCAGAACCTTCATCATAAAGGGGTGTTAGAGCTTGTCAAATGCTTTTTCTGCATCTATTGAGATAAGCATGTGGTTCTTATCCTTGCTCTTATTGATGTGATGAATTACATTAATTGATTTGTGTATATTGAATGACCTTTGCATCTGTTGATATGAATCATGTTTCATTGTGGTATATGATTTTTTTTGGATGAGTTATTGAAGTAGATTGGCCAAAATTTTGTTGAGAAGTTTTGCATCAATATTCATCAAAGAAATGGGTCTATAGTTCTCTTTCTTTGATGAGTCCCTGTCTGGTTTTGGGATGAGGGTTATAATGGCTTCATATAATGAATTTGGTAATGAACTTTCTCTTTCAGTTTCATTACAGAGTTGCAGGAGTATTGGTGTGAGCTCTGCTTTGAAGGCCTTGTAGAATTCCACTGTAAAGCCATCTGATCCTGGGCTTTTCTTAGATGCTAGGTCTCTTATTGCTGTTTCTATTTCAATACTTGATATGGGCCTGTTAAGATGGTTTAATTCATCTTGGTTTAGTTTCGGCCTGTTGATATTTACTAGGAAAACGTCCATTTCTGCCAAGGTCTCAAACTTACTAGTATAAAGGTTGAGAGGTATTCCCTTATAGTGTTCTGAATCTTGGTTGTTTCTGTGGTGATGTTTCCATTCTCATCCCTGAGTTTATTTATTTGGGTTTGTTCTTTTCTTTTTCTGATAAGATTTGCTAAGGGTCTGTCAATTTTGTTAATTTTTTCAAAGGACCAACTATTTGTATTATTGATTTGTTCAATTTTTTTTGGATTCTGATTCATTTAATTCTGATTTAATTTTAATTATTTCTTTCTGTCTACTGTATTGGAGTTTATCTTTATGCTCTTTTTCAAGGAGGTTCAGATGTCTCATTAAATTGTTGGTTTCAGATCTCTCCAATTTGTTGATATAGGAACTTAGAGCTATAAACTTGCCTCTGAGCACTGCCTTTGCTGTGTCCCAGAGGAGCGGATAATTTATGTGTTCATTTTTGTTGAATGTCATGAACATTTGAATTTCCTTTCTAATCTCTTCCATGACCCACTTGATTTCAATAGTTTGTTGTTCATCCCCATGTGTTACAGGACTTTCTTTGGTGGATTTTGGTGTTGCATTCTACGTTTATTCCCTTGTGGTCTGAGAGAATGCATGGTATAACTTCAGTGTTTCTGAATTTGGACAAGTTTGCTTTGTGACCTAAAATATGGTCTATTTTGAAAAACGTTCCATGTGCTGCTGAGAAAAACGTGTATTTTGATGCTGCTGGGTGAAATATTCAGTAGATGTCTGTTAAATCTAGTTGACCTATGCAGTTGTTCAGATCTGCGGTTTCTCTGTTGAGTTTTTGCTGAATTGATCTATATCTAGTGGAGAGAGTGGTGTGTTAAAGTCCCCAACAATTAATTTTGTCTGTGTGAGATTTGAGGGAAAATAGTGTTTCTTGGATAAATTTGTGTGCTCTGTTGTTTGGCGAATATATTTTTAGAATTGTAATATCCTCCTGGAGGAGAGATCCCCTAATTAGTATACAGCGACCTTCTTTATCTCTTTGCACTAATTTTAATTTGAAGTGTATTTTATCTGATATTAGGATTGTAATTCACGCCTGTTTATGGGGGCATTTGCTTGGTAGATTTTGTTCCAGGCTTTCACTTTCAAAAGTTGTTTGTTTTTACGAGACAGGCGCTTTAGCCAACTAAGCCACAGAGCCACCTAAAAGTTGTTTGTTTTTATGGGCAAGGTGTGACTCCTGAAGACATCTGCTGGTTGATTTAATATATTTGAGGTTGCAGTAACGTTTTCAAAATTTTCTGGTATGTATCACCAGTGTTCATAACATAGACATGCTCACTTTTAAAACTTGCAACCTCATTTTTATGAGATGTTTCATAAAAATTCCTTTGACAATGTGCTTAAAATCAGACTTAACCTTTTATTAAATTAACTACATGAATAGAGTAGTGAATAAATATGACTTTGTGTTTCTGAAATGCTTTCTTTTGACTCATGTCAGTACTTTTGTTTGCCTATCTGTGTATCATAAAATTATAAATGTAGTTAGTGATTACAGAAATAAGTTCGGTTGCTTAGTGCCAGCTTAAATAATTGTTGGAACCCCGGTAATTTCTATTTTGATTCTATTTTCATTCATAACAATGGGGATTTAAAAAATTAGCTCTTAAGATGCTCGAATAGCATGTTCTATCCCATATCCCCATTTCTCTGGCTCTGAAGTGAATTGGTTTTAAAAGTGGGAGCTGTTTACAGTAGTTGATTTGATTTTAAAAAGTTGTTTTTTTTTCTTCTAATCTCAACATGAGTAGTAGTTCTTTTAAGTGTTTGCAGATTTGGAGCTCTTTGCTTTGTTTGACCTCACGTTCTGTACCTTTCCCTGGCAGATTAGTTAGGGTGCTTGTTACTGCCCTGGTTGACTGAGGAGTAAGAGTGTGTACTTGAACCAGTCCACCAGGGACCACTTTATAGCTCCCGAACCTCACTATCTTTTTCTTTCTTATAATTGGTGAACTTATCAGATAAATTTTTCTTCAGTAAATGAGATAATACATCCAAATGGATCAGCGCCTTTCCTGAAACTCATTAAGCTCCAAAGAAATTCTAGAGTGTTGCTGCTAAGACTGCATAATGAGAATTAAATAAGAATACTGTTTAACTCCTCACAGTATCTGGCTCATAATAGACACTAAATAAAAAAATATTCTCTTTATCGCCAAGTTCACATGTCCACCACATCCTGTTACTCATGAACTAGGTAACATAGATGTCTAAATGTTTGCTTTAGTCTCCAACTGCAAAAATGAAAAGCCAGAGGCCAGTATTCTTAGGAGTATTAAGGCAGAGGTTTTAGCATATTGTAGATGTGTATATAAAACTTTTAATCTCGTTTATCAGATGCTGTTGACTGAGTATTTGGATATGAAAAACACAAGTGCAGCCTCTGAACCATCAGCTCAACTAAGCTACGCCAGTACTGGACGAGAGTTCGCAGCTTTTTTTGCCAAGAAGAAACCTCAAAGGCCAAAAAATTCTCTTTTCAAGTAAGTATCACTCTGCCAGTAACATACCAAGGTGTCAAGAAGTGTTAGATCCAAGTTGAATCACTTTCTACTTTATTGACAATCATTACTTCCTCAGCTGAGATTGAAGTAATTTATAGAAAATAAATATATATTCAATTTTGTTTACTTTTTTTCTAAGGTGAAGTTGCTGCTTTTGATGTTGTCCAAAACAGATCTCTTAATAATTACGTTGCTTCTGAGGAGTTTCATATCAAATTAGGGAAATGAAACTCTCTGGTTGTTTCTGAAGAGGTTTCTATGAAATGAAAGACAGTATGTTTGCCTTGGAAAAGCCCCAAGTGCAAAGAAGTAACCTTTATTAATGAAGGTATGCAAGTCTCCCCAGCTACGCAGTAGTTGCAGTATGTTTATAGATGTTTAATAGAGGAATAAACTGGAAGATTTTTTAAAATTACTGTCTTTGCCCTATCAGGCTATGCTCCCAGAGTGTAACTCTGTTGGTAATGGCTAATAGTTACAAAATATGACTGTTAACCTTGATAGTGCCAGCAGCTACAATTGATTGTGGACTTGCTGTTTATAAGGCACTATTACTAGTTGTTTTTCTCAATCTCAGTAAAACATAATTTAGATTATGCCAAGTTTCAGTGATAGCAATTAATAAATTAATCAAGTCTTTCCTAAGTGGGAGATGAAAAATTAAACCATTTTTATGTATTATCTGATTTTTTCATTAGAGCAGTCTTATAACCAAAGGTTCTATTTTTAATCCTTTTGTACACATACAAATATTTGACATAGAGAATTAAGATTCAAAAGAATTTAAGTAACTTATATGAGGTCACATAGCTGACCACTGTTAGAAGCAAGATTTAAATCCTTGAAGTCTTAAGTACAGACCTCTGTACCTTGAGGAATTAATAGATATTAAATAAATGATATTTATAAATATAAGCAGAAATATCACCTCTGTGGATTGAATTAGTTCTTTTTTTAGTAGCTGTGGCTCTGTATCTTTTGGTTGCTTACCTTTGATATTCGTTGTTAACTTGGATTGATAGTATTCTTAGTAATTAAGGAAAGTTTCAACAGTTAATTATTTTGTGGTTTAATGGAGAAGAGATTTTAAGTGTCCCTGCCTGGAAAGAAATCCATATTGTTTATTGAATAAAAAAATTTTAAAGAGTATTATTCATGAGGTAGACACAAAGCAGTTAAAATACTTCAGGCTTCAAGTAACATCAAACCACACATTGAACACATGATACTATTGGGAAGTTCCACTAATGTGGAATTTTCATTTTTCAGTGCTACAGTATACAAAAGGCCCAGCCCTTCCCTTCTCTGTGTTTTCTATTGTGATGACTGATTTTTACATTAGTTTCATTGTAATAAAGATGATGCCAAGGAAATAGAAATAGGAAATGATTCTTTCTTGAATGTATAGGCTTTATTCTTTAGAGTAGTTTTAGGTATTCAGAATAAAGGACCAGAAAGTGCTTTGATTTCCTTTATACCCTTCGCTAGCTTTTTCTATTAACATCTTACCTTAGCGTAATGTATTTGTTAAAAATCAATGAGCCAGTATTAGTATAGCATTATTAACTAAAGTCTATGGTTTACCCTAATTGGTTCATTGTGTTATACACTTCTAAGAGTTTTGTCAGATGCATAATATCAGAATAGTTTCACTGCCCTAAATAACTTCTGTACTACATGCCTAGTCTTCCTTTCCCTCCTCCTTTACCTCTGGGAACCACCAGTCTTTTTATTATCTCCAAAATTTTGAATTTTCTAGAATGTTCTATAGCAAATCATATAGTCTTAGTTGCCTCTACATAACATATAGCGTTTTTAGACTTGCTTCTTATACTCACTGATACACAGTTAAGGTTTTTTTGCCTCTTTCTGTGATTTGTGCTACTTGGTATATTTTTGTTAATAACTATTGATGATCTGGTCTTCAATCTTTTTTGCCATTAGCGAATCCCTGCTCCCAGTTCTCCTGAAGTTCTAGGATTGTAGCTTAGGTATACTATGAAAGCAGTCCCTGGAAAGGGGAGGCAGACCACCTGGTTGTCACATAGCAAGCAAGTTCTTCTCTGTTGCTAGTTCTGCAGCAGGAGAGGGACCCATTTTCTGAATACATCGCCAAGTCACAAGGGAGTAAGGAAGCAGAACTAGTGGATAGAGGCAACTAAGAGTGGCTCAGATGTGTCTGATTTGGCCCTACATTCCCTTTCCCTTTCTTTTTCCCTTTTCCTTTCCTGTCCCCCCCCCTTTTTTTTTAAATGTGAAAATACCATATGGAGGGGTTAAAATTACATGGGCAAGGTAATGAGTACATTTCTTATCAAGCATTGTTTGTTGTCTCCTCCTTTGTTTTCCCTTCCCATCCCTTCCCCGCCAAAGTTGTAAAGTTTATTTTTTGACATAATGACTTGTACATCTCATTGTTGCAATGGGTCCACCTGTATCCCTATCTAAATGATTTGTTTTTTCCCTTCCCCTCCACAAATTATACCAATATCAAATACAATGAAAGCAGGAGTTATACCAAGGAGAGGGACAAACAAAGCAACAAAGAAATCATCTTATTAATATGTTAGAAAACATTGCAAGAAAGAAAAAAAAACATTTGAATACTTATCTTGGGGTTTATTTCACCTAACATCAACTTAACTGACCTTTTCTGCTTGTCTCAGTCATATACTAGTTATTGCAAATAAGGGAAACCATGGGACCTATGTTTCTTTGGGCCTGGCTTACTTCGCTTAATATAATTTTTTTCCAAGCCTTTCCATTTCCTAACATAGGGCAATGTCATTCTTTCTGATGGAGGCATAGAATTCCATTGTGTATATGTACCAAATTTTTTTGATCCATTCATCTACTGAGGGGCATGTGGGTTGGTTCCACATCTTAGCTGTGGTAAATAATGCTGCAATAAACATATACTAATAAACATGTTTATTAGTATAGTTTTAGCATTAGTATAGTCTTGTTTGTGATCATTTGGGTAAATGCCCCAAAGTGGGATTGCTGGGTCATGTGGAGTCTTTTGAGGAACCTCCATACTACTTTCCAAAGTGGTTGAACAAGTTTATATTCCCACCAACAATGCAGTAAGGTTCCCGCTTGTCCACATCCTCCCCAGCATCTGTTGTTATTCGAGTTCTTGATTATAGCCATTCTAATTGGGGTGAGGTGGTATCTCAGTGTTGTTTTGATTTGCATTTCTTTTATAGCTAGAGAGGTTGAGCATTTCTTCATGTGTCTATTGGCCATCCTTCTTTCCTCTTCAGAGAAGTTTCTCTTTAAGTCTTTAGCCCACTTATTTATTGGGCAGTTGTTTCTTTGAGGATTTGTTAGGGAATTTAATTTTTTGAGTTCCAGGTATATTTTAGTTATGAGACCCTTGTCTGTTATATGGCTAGTGAAGATCTTCTCCCAATGCATGGGCTTTCTATTGATCTTGCTAGCTATATCCTTTGCCATGCAGAAGCTCTGCAATTTCTTGCAATCCCATTTGTCCAACCTTTCTTTGATTTGTTGTGTTTCTGGGTCTCTATTAAGAAAATTTCAGCCTGTGCCAAGGAGACCTAGGGTTTCTCCTTTTCCATCCTGTAATGTTTTTAGAGTGTCTGCTTTGACTCCGAGGACTTTGATTTATTTGGAGTTGATTCTGGTGCAGGGTGATATATAAGGATCTAGCTTTAGTTTTCTACAAGTGATTAAGCAATTTTGCCAGCACCATTTACTGAAGATCCCTGCCCCCTTTTTGCATCATATCCATTCTAGGCCCAGGATTTTAAAAATTGAACAAACAAACTTTTAGGTCTGGGATTTTTTTGTTTGTCTTTGTTGAAATTAGGTTTTCGAGTTTTTAGATTTCATGCTTGCAATTACCATGTCTAACTTTCGACCTTTCTGGATTTGAGTTCACATATATAATACATTCAGCCAGTACTTGTGAAGTTGTATTTTTGGGAAAAACTCCAAACCCTAATTTGTTGGAGAAGAACAAATTAACTTAAATAATTATTACACATTATTATTACTGGGCAGTAATAAAACCTTTCTGACAGAAAATTAGGTGGTCACTGAAGATTTGCCTCTTTCTAATATTGGTTCCACTTTCCATGAGCCATGATTATCCGAATAAGTCTCCTGTGTTAGCAAGCCTAGGTGCCTTTGGCTATAAAACAAGGAGGTGAGACCAAATGATCTCCAGTGCCTCTTTTGCTATAAAATTTTCTCAATGTGTGACTTGTTACAAACATAAAAAGAATTCCTGAGTAGTGAAAATATATCAAGTCATAAAGGATTAAAATTTTGGAGAGCTGTAATCTGCTTTTATCACATCTGTGGAGGATTTTATTGCCCTCTTTAATTGCCCTTAGCCAAGGTTAATTAAGTGTGTTTAAGTTCTCTGCTTTTGTACAACGTGTGCTTCTCTATTTTTGTTTGACTTTTTTCTTTACCCTCTCTAATCAATAGTTGGCAGCATGTTTTCAGGAGGTCAGTGGCTTCTTTTCTGCACTTGACTGGCAGGTGGCACTTTTGAAGTACTGCACACTTTGCCTTCCTTTCAACTGTTTATGCCTCTTAGTTCTTGGTAGGGTTCAAAGAGGGGATCAGGTAACCCAAGTAATTCCCTCACACACAGAGCTTCATCTTGGTATTCATCTTTCCTGTCAAGGAATGGATAAAGGGACATAATTAAGAAAATGCTTATATTCCTTTCCTGTTGCCAGAGACCTGTCTCGTTGGACCGTTGCTCTTGCTTTATCCTGTTTACTCCTTAGTATTTAAGATTTTATGGCGTACTCCGCCTTTCCTCAGACTGTAAACCTGCCTTTGAAAATCCCAGGTTTGAAATGAAATCTCTTAGTACATCAAAGGATTTACTGTTCGTTTCTATAATTTTACCGGTTCTTTTTTTGTTATATGCAAGCTTCTTCATGAAACCGATTTGCATTCATTGTTTTAGCTTTTAGAGAGTGTTTGGGTATCATGAGTCTATCTCTGATCTTTCTGACAATTTGAACTAGATTCTAGTCGTATGAATGAACATTGTGTAGGTTGATATTTTTGAGATCTTTTGTGAGGTGGCAGATTACAAACCTAGAGCCATTGGGAACACGATTTTGTAAGACTCTCAGAGACAGTCTTACTTTTTTGATGTCACTATCTAGTGTCATTTCTAGTATACATTGTATACTGGTTCTCTAGCCGAGTGAGTTGGGAAAGCAGGCATATCTCTGCGGTGGCAGCTATTCACTGATGATTTTGGAACTGGATAGTTGCATTATCAGAATGACTTTAGAGGATGCTCTTAATGGCAGTATGTATAGGACAAATGATGATGGTTGTCTGAAGGTGAAGTGGAGAGGGAGCAGACCAGAGTAGTGCTAGTTGAAATGGAGAATACGAAAAAGATCCAAATATTATTTTAGAGGAATATTGACCAGGGAACATTGTCCCCGAGTCAGGATTTGGTGCAGCCTTTGCATAATCTACTTGAAGTGTCATGAGTGTGAAATATCAAGGAGGGCCACATAGACCAGAGCAGAATATGTGGAGAAATACATCTCCAGATACTGCTTTCTCTCCATTTATTTAACTTGTTTTTTCTCTTTCTTTGCAGGTTTGAATCATCCTCCCATGCTATCAGCATGAGTGCTTACTTGAGAGAGCAGAGAAGGGAGCTCTATAGTCGGAGTGGAGAACTTCAAGGTAGGTGATTGGATTTCTCTGGAATAATTAATTTTCTGGAGGATGAGCTGAAGCATTTGTAGTATGTGAACTTGTGGTCTGTATTCACGAAACGGTTTAAAGACTTGATTATTTCTTTTATCATTTCTACCATCTGCTGCCAAGCAGCTACAACTAATCGCTGCAGAATTTATAGACTTACTGCCATTCAAGTAGAAATTCTAAGCAAAGGAAGTAAGGCCAGACTCTTTTTGCTTAGATAGCAGATGAGTGCAGTCGCAGCTTAGCAGAATGTCAGTTCTTTGTGGTGGCCACTGTTACTGTTTTTATAGTTATTATATTTGACCCTTTTTGGGATGTAGCAAGCATAACTGAGAATTGGAAAAGGGCAAATACAGCCTCTGTCATTATTTAAAGGGTAGGGGGTGGTGGTGCTTCTAATAGGCATAACTTTTATACACAGGATACTTCATACTTGCTTGTGGTCACTAAGGGTTGCAATCTGCAGAAGAAAATACTTAGAAAATAAACAACAAATAAAATAAAATCAATCAGTAGCATTTTTTGTAATCTATTAATCACTAGTAAAGTGTAAGACACTATAGGTGTTAGAATGGGTGGAATTAAGTTGTAAAATATATAAAATTAAACCTTAAGATCTAGTTATTAAAGTATGATGTGTGTGTGTGTGTGTGTGTGTATACTGTCAGCCCTCTACATCTACTGGTTCTATATGTTCTTGTATCTGGTATAAACATGCATAGATTTTTTTTGTTACTCTTTCCTAAACATCACAGTAAAATAACTATTTACATATCATTTACATTGTACTAGGTATTGTCAATTGTCTAAATATTATTTAGAGTATATATGAAGATGTATGTAGCTGATGAAAATTCACACCATTTTATATAAAAGACTTGAGCATCTATGGATTTTAGTGTCCATGGAGGATGATAGTATACACATATAGACACACAGAGAAAGAGAGACAGGGGCACAGAGAAAAAATATTAGCATCTTAAGTTAATTGTATGCCTTGACTTTTTCAGAGTTAATAGAGTGATTTTTAAATTACTCTGGAATTCTGTATGGATATGTAGACATTTATAATTTCAGATGCATTGGGAGTGCTTGGAACATTTTGCAGTGACTAGCCAACATAATTAAGCATTAAGTTTTTACGACTCATCCAAGATGTATATCAAAACATCTACAATAACTGTCAGTCATTCTGCATTTGACGGTTATTGCTAGTTTTACTTCAACCTTTATCATTGATGTAGGAACATGTAACATTTCCCCAAAGCCCTGCTATTTTGCTCACATTTATATCATAGTAATAGTTCCATAATTCATGTGTAGTAACCAAAAGCAAAAAGCTAGAAATACATTCTAGAGTTTTAAGAAAACCGACACTTTATTCAATATTAAAATAGTGTTTCCATACATTCTAGACAGCATATGGAGAGCTTCTTGTAGGACTACAGAGCATAGTTAGGGTTGCAAACAAATGCAGCAATGATCCACTACCCTGTTATCAGACAGGGAATGGAAGGAGGAGGGTGACCCAGGCTGTAGCAGGTAGCTGCCTCCCAGGGGAATGGGATGGGGTAGGAAATGTGGAACAAAACGATGGTACAAAAGCTGCATTCTTGCAGGGAAGGGGACTGTACCACACACTGTTAGTTAAGGGTGCAGCAGGTTATCTGGGGCTGGTGAATCCTCCATATTCAAGTGTTCTGATTCTTACTTTTCTTCACTGTTGAAAAGGAATAGTTTATATTTGTTTCCAGAATTTTTATCCACCTATCTTCTATTATATTAAATTTCTTTAATGGTGACAACAATCTCCTTTGTTTTAGAGGGCTGAATCCTGATGATTTCATTTTCTTAAATATTGATGCACATTTTTAAAGAGCAGCTTTAGGTTCACATCAGAACTGAATAGGAAGCACACATGCACAGCCTCCTCCTCTCTCAGTATCCTGTACCACAGGGAAGCCTTTCATCTGGCACTTGAAGATGAGAAGGTAGATCACATGATCAGTGGGGCAGCAATACAGCCTGTCATTCACTCAGATTCAAGCATTATTAGTCAACAGAATAAATGACTGATAGTACATTTTTTCTTCTTTTTTAGACAGGAAGAATAATGGACACTATTCTGTAGCCTCGTGGAAAAATTGTTAGTTCCCTGTCACTGGTCCATGATCTCTTGAGGGAGAATATAGTGCAGCAATGCAAAGTAAGGGTTCTGGGACCAGATTGCCTACATTAAAAAACAAAACAACAGCAACAACAAAAAATGAACTTGCAACTACTGGCCTTACACATCACCATCCAGTGCTGCTTTTTCTTTTTCTCTAAATGGGAATGTAAATAATAGTAACTACTTGCTGAGGTGATTTTTGAAGTTCTGATTTAACCAATGCTTAAAAAACTGTGTGACGTTTAGAGAATATTATGCCTTCCTTTTTTCTCCTTCCTGAGTTATATTTGTAGGACTATGATTTGGAATTTTCATACATACTCTGTTTTTCCTTCATCTTTTGTATTAAGTCTTGTTTGGCTTTCTAACTTAATTTTAGTTGTCATTTATTCCAGTGAGCTTTCCTGCTGACTCCTCTCCAACCTACTGCAACTGTGTGAGAGCAACACACACACACACACACACACACACACACACACACACACACACACACTGGGGTTGTGTTTCCTGCTATGCATTCTTATGACACTGTTATTGTTTCTGAGTATATAACATGCCATAGTGGTTCAGTACTCACATACCTGGGTTTGCCGTAAAACTATAAGCTCCACACAGGACATCATATTTTATTTCTTGTGCATTTGCAGTGCTTGGTACAGTAAATGTTTCATAAATACTGGTTGGCTCAGTGACAGAATGAATGTGGGCAGTTAAGGCTTAAAGTTAGATAGAGAGATCACTTGAGTGGGAGGAAGGGACACTGCAGGAGATAGGGACCACTGCACTGATAACCATTATTAGACATGCAGGTTTCCATGAGCATTTAAATTTAACAAGTGGTTGTGTGTGTGTGTGTGTGTGTGTGTGTGTGTGTGTGTGTGTGTGTGTAAGTGTATGTGAGTTTCTCTGCAATTACCACGAATACAATGTTAATCACTAAAAATTATTTTGAACAGACATGTGCTTGATAAGAGAATGAATAAACTGACTAGATTTTATAAAAGTTTGATGTTGTTATTCAGGAGTAAAAGTTTCTCTGATGAATGCTTTTAAGTTTTCAGAAATAGTATATGTGTTGCCGAAGCAAGCACAAATTTTCAGAATTAAAACAAAGAGGAAATCATATTTACCTTCCATTAAAAATAGCCATCCTGTTATAGCATTTCTTTTCATGCTTTGTCTGGTCCAAGGACCATCGTGGGATCGGCATTTAACCTTCCCTTGAAAAGGCGTAATTGAATAGTTCATTCCACACTTAAAGAGACTGGGGAAGATTTTTGTCTCTTCTCTTAATTCCATATAGCTACAGGCTTCTTTTCCCAATTGTTTGGTTTGTGGGGTCAACTTTTCCTTCTGTCATTCAAGGGCATGACAAAGAAACCTACCAGCAAGACCATGAAAGTAATGCTAAAAAACTCAACTTTTACATAGGTTACCTTCCTCCCAATGTTTTCAATTTATCATGCAATTAAAAATGTTAGTTTAACAATGTATGAGGGGATAACAAATGTAAATAGGAAGTTTCTTTGATATTATCAACCCATCTCAATTGTCTCTCACTGTTAAGGTGCAGATGTTTCATTATATAGTCTACTGTTGTCAATTGAACTAAGGAGGTAGGGGTGCTGCTACTTCAAAGTGTATGAAATAACAGGTGGAAAATCTTAAGTTGTGTATGTGTCTATGTTAATCACTGATATCCTGTTGCTTTGAGCCTCTCTACTTTTGCATTGTACTGCTTAGAATGAACTGTTGTAAATGTACAAAGATATTAGTTTTAATGAATATTTACCTTGAGTATAGCATCTCAGGTTAATGTGTAATTCTTCAGATGAATAAAAAAATTGATGAACACATTATCGTGAGAGGGTTAAAAAATAAAAATACTGCTACAAAGAATGAAAATAAGTTCATAGGTTAATCATTTTCTCTGTGCCTCAATTTTCTCAAATAAAAAAAAAATAAAGCCATTACCAGAATTGTCTTATTTAGGGTATTTTGACCATTAAATTAGATACTTGAACTCTGGAACAATTAGAACTATATTGATTGCAATTTAAGTAGTACTTTAAAAGTTATCATTAATGGAGTAGGAACATTGCATCCACTTTACCCCTTGTTTTCTTCCCAACACCAGTGCATTGAGCTGACTCTCTTCTATGTCACCAGTGACTTCCATCAGGCAGACTCTGTGTTTGCTTTTTATCCCACTTGAGCTTCTAACAATCCTCTTCTTTTTCTTCTACTTCTGGTCTCTATGAGTGTTCTCATGGACCTGTTGTCTTCTGTGTTCTACCCATAATTATAAAACATTTTTTCTTATAACTCTCCTTTCCTTCCCTTCTTTCCTCTCTCCTCCCCTCCCCTCAGCCTTAGGAGGATTCCTGTCATCACCTCTTTTCTCATCATCACTGAATCTGTGTAGTTCTACCACAGTGTTAACACTCACAATTCATACGCTCTACGCCTGCTTTGCACTGGCTGTCCTGGGAGTCATATCAATACAGGCAAATGGTCCACAGACAGCTTATGAAAAACATACATGGCTGGCCCATCATGTACTCAGTCATACGTTTCCTGTCTATCCTGTAATGGATATTATTTCTTGATTGACACTTAAATTTTCAGTATTATTGTGATTTACTTAATATAAATTTATGATAACTACAAAAATGCTCCTAGATTTATTGAATCTGCCATTACCTTGACAGAGCCAGACCAAATGACTTGTTGGCCCTATACAGTGTGTGGGTTAGATGTTCCTGAACTCTGGTCTTGGATATTACTTGCCTCAAATTAGGCTCATAAA